CGCTTTCGCGTACCAGTAGACTCACACATCCACGATCCCGGATTAGGACACTAATCCCGGACTAGGAGTAAAAGACCGTCACTCCGACACGCACCGCGACACACGGTTTTAGCCACAGGGCTATCGCAAAAGAGGTCGGAAGGTCAACCAAGCCCACTAAGACAGCGTTGACGCAGGAGGAAACTTATGGCACGCACTACAAGGGCAGAAAGGCCACTGTTCTGGTTGGCCGCGAAGAGCGGCTCCTCATATAAGCATATTTAATTCTTTCTATTTGTGTTTTTATTAAAATATTTTCTGATAAATTTTTTTTTAAAATAGTTAAAAATATATTAAAGTATAAAAAATTATCATTTTCGAGAGGCTTCAAAGACTGGTTTGTCAGCACGAGGCCTCAAGACCTGCCTGGACATCGAAGTCTCGTTGAGGACATGCAGTCTTCGTCAATCATGGTGTACAGCAAGCAAAAGCACATGCCGTTCCTCTTGAAAGCACAAGGAGGAGCGTTTGGCGTATGCCAAAAAAATTTTGGCCGAGCCACCTGCCTGGTCCGACATTATATGGTCGGACGAGAAGCTATTCAACTTGGATGGGCCAGATGGCCTCAAATACTATTGGCATGATCTACGAAAGGAACCAGACACTTTTTTACGCGTCGAAATGGTGGAGGTGGGGTGATGGTTTGGGGAGCGTTTTCTTCTGTTGGTTTGTCTGAATTGGCATTTCTTTCTGAAAATCAAAACTCTGAATCATATTGTGATACGTTGGGAAATTATCTTTTTCCTTTTGCTCATGAATTTTATGGCGAATATTTTGTTTTTATGCAAGATGGAGCATCTATTCATAAGTCGAAGTATTCAATGGCATTTTTGAATGACGAAAATGTTACTCTTTTCGATCACCCTGCACTTTCTCCCGATAGAAAATATGTGGGGAAACCTTGTGCGTCAAGTTTACGCCAACGGCCGCCAGTTTACTACCGTCCCGAACCTCATTGTTTCCATCAAATCAGCTTGGTCGGGAATTAGCCGTTCGGTCATCGAAAGTCTCATCAAGTCCATGCCAATGCGCTGCATGGCTGTGTTGGAAGCCAAGGGTGGCAAGACAGATATATGTATTGCATTTGCTTCGCCCAAATTGTATTCTGACATGCTCGTACTGTCATATCGATCCTTTATAATCAACAGAGTACCGACAGAAATGACCAGGGTCAAGGACGACCCATGAAGAGAGGGTGGGTCTATTCATGTGGCGCGTACTGTACACTGTACACAGTGAATGTGAGTGGTGAGGTATTTTTGGAATATGTTGTTACGAGGGTTATTCCTGCGATCATGGCTGCATTCCCAAGCGCGTCGTGCTGCTGCATGATAACGTTCTGCCGCACAGTGTAATCACAGAAGCTGTCCTTGCGGCCGTGTCTCTTGACGGATGGACATTTGTCCTTCGGCGCCAACTACCCAACAGCCCAGACCTCAATGTCCTGGACCAGGTTTTCTTTGCTTCAATTCAAGCGCTACAATACAAGGTGGTGAGCCATTCTATTGACGATGTTGTTCGTTCTACCTTGGAGGCTTTTGAAGCATTGAGCGTGGAAACGCTTGAGAATGTGTTCCTGACCTTGAAGGCCGTCTTGCGGCTTGTGCTCGAACACCAAGGCGACAACCGTTTCCGCCTTCCTCACCCCCAGGATCACAGTCGCCGTTACCAGCAATGCTGACGGGAGCAGTTAGTGGCCGTTGCTGTTTGTTGGTACCGCGAAGCAGCCGCGTTGTTTTGGCGGACGCAGTGCCGAGCAACTGGGGTTTGAGTATGAGGCCACAAGGAAGGGTTGGATGACGGGTGACGTGTTCTCGACGTGGATCCAAGACTTCAACAGGAAAATGCGTGAAGAGGGCCGACGCGTGCTTTTGCTTCTCGACAATGCATCTTCCCACCGTTATGATGGACAGTTGACAAACGTGAAGGTATGCATGCTTCCTCCCAATACAACGGCATTTCTACAGCCTCAAGATGCTGGTGTTATACAAGCATTCAAAAGCAAGATCAATGCTCTGCGTGCAGACTATCTGGTGAGGCGGTTTGACGAATTGG